TGTATTTTGTAAAATTCTTTTAAAACTCAAAATAAGGCAATGGACTATTGTCCCTGGCGTCTTCATTTTAGGCCGCCTGTGAGTAAGAAGAACCACGTTACAAATTTTTGAAAAAACAGCAAAACTAGTGGTGCATGGCATCGTGTCTTAAAGCAAATTTCTAGAACTTCTTGTACCAACGGCATTTTTAACTTCCCATAAAAAATCGAAAATGAAAATGTTTATATATCTTTACGTTTCAAAGTTTTCTGAATATTCTGGCATACCTTAGAAAAAAATGGATGTATGTGTGTGTGTGTATGTGTGTGTGTGCGCGTATGTGTGTGTGTGTGCAAATACAAATTTTGTCGACGATTTCGAGAACACCGATCAACCGATTTGAATAATTCAAAGAACATTCGATTTACATTGATAAGGAGACGTGCTGATTAGTTTTTGCCGGAGGCAGGTCTAGCCGTTTCAAAGATACGGGGCAAAAATGCCAAAAATGGTAACTCAGTTTTTATATAGAACGGAGCGTCCGATTTTAATAATTCAAAAAACATTTTACTTGTATTGACAAGATGAATAATTGATCAAATTTTCATGAAGGCAGGTATAGCGGTTTCGGAGATCTAATGAAAAAAGTAAAAAAAATGCCATTTGGCGGTCAAAAATCATCATTAGACATATGCACATCAAATTATCTGATATTTTATAGAAATTTTAACAATAAGTATAAATTTTGTTTGAATTCCTATGGGTTTCGTACCAATGTTTATCCGTTAGACGGCGACGCGGCGCTTACGCGCTTTGACAATTCGTCTCTATGTAGGGAAAGCAGTACAATTGCTTTGAAAAAAAGTTCTGAATTTCCAAAATATGTTAAAATAAAGAAAACATTTTTTTTCAAGAAAAAACTTTTTTGTTTCTCAAAAATTTATTTTTTTCAAAAAGTTTTTAAAAAAATAATAATTTTTGGTACGGGAAGTTCCAGCAATTTTCCTTAAGGCACGATGACATGCGTGCCAATAGTTTAAAACTTTTTTTATTGGATCTCCGAAATCGATAAACCTGCCTTTCCCAAAATTCAAACAGTTCTGCGTTTTGTCAATACAAATGAAATATTTTTGGAAGAATTCTAATCTGACGCTCCGTTATCTTCAAAAACTAAATTACAATTTTTGGCTCTTTTTGCCCTGCGTCTTCAAAACGGCTGAACTTGCCTCAGCCGAAAATTAATCAGCACGTCTCCTTATCAATACGAACCAAATGTTTTTTGAATTATTGAAAACGGTTGATCCGTGTTCTCATAATAGTCGACAAAAATTTGTATCCGCACACACATACATACATCAATTTTTTCTAATGTGTTCAGAATCTTTTGAAACGTAAAGATATATAAAAAATTTTATTTGGGGATTAGTATAACTTATCCTACGCGAATTTAATAAAAATATGAAACCAGAGAAAAATATGAAAATATGAAACGTTATGACTTGAAAGCATTTCGAGTAACATGCATTTTGATTAGGTTTTCTGTGTATATATTTTGTTTCTTGTAAACAACTATACAGGTCATTGCCCAAATATAAGCATTATATTATTATTTACTTATCTATAAAATACTGAATGTTAATAAAATCAGAATGTGAGTCTAAAAATGAATTTATAATAAAAATAATATTGATTTTAAAACATTTAAAGCCATTTTAGATTATATATTTTGAATTTCTCGAACAATACGAGAGTTTCTACAACTTGCCTCAAGACACAATGTAATGCAACATTTCATTAACTTTCTGCCCTCTTTTGTTTAACGAATACCCTCTTTTACCATATATTTACAATGAAACATTAGGTTAACAAATTATTAATAATTATAAATGTGTAAATAATTTTTGCCTGTAGTATAAGACAAACAATCTAGTGATTTGCCAATAGATAAGTTAGTGGAAGCTAATTGTCTACGTACAAAAATCCACGACATCCACGTTATCATATCTTGAGAGCAAATCTATAATTCGAAAAGCACGAATCGTATATTTCCAGTTTTGATATATTTTTTTGTGAATAGTAAAAAAGCAAGCAATATAAAGACACATAAAATACTAACCATTCCATCACATGAATGCACCAGAAATAGTTTTAGTAATTTTTATTTACTATTATATTAATTTTATATCGAAAGACTGTTAAATTATCAATACATAGTGAGTGTTAAAATAGACTTTCCTAGGTACTTACAATTTAAAACTACCGATTAAACTGCTCTAATTTTTAAAAATTAATAATGCTAGAAAGCCGTCTTTTGTAACTTTTTTTAAATTTTTGTGTCTACATAGTACGTTGCTTGTGAAACAACTGATTGTTAAAGTTTGGCAATAATTTTTCTTTATTGCCAGTCGATATGCTATTTAACACGCATTAGGAGTTAATTAAACGTAACAGCTTAACACAGTGCGCCTTACTCTGGTCTAGTTAAGTACACAAATGTTCATTATATTCACATTATCGACTCGTCTAACTGGACTAATTTACTGTGAAACATGAAATTTGAATGTGTTTGCGAACGTCTAAATGATCTTGCATAATGCGAACAACGATACCATTACGAATTTGATCTAACGACGACGGCGACGAAAATCGATGGAAAAATAGTAATATATATCTACAAATATACACATATATATATATATATATATATATATATATATATATATGCATGTTATTACAGATTTCAGTCTGTTTTCAGGGTAGGGCGAGATACAAGGGTCCAATTTTACTTTGAGCAATTGTATTTCAAAAACCATACCAATTATATCAAAACAAATAACACATATCAAAGATATAACTATCGGACTTTATTTAGCAAAATTTCCATCTAATTTACAATTCATCATTGCAAATATATACTTTTCAAAAAATTGTCACCTGGTTCTTTTAACCTCATAGGCAAGGTTAAATGAGGCGGCTAAGGGTCCAACAGAACCAATGTCCTATTTTTAATTTTAAAATAAATTTCTTAAATATTAACCACATTATTCAACCAATTCAAAATATAAATTTCATGGATAAATTTTTTACAGAGATTACAGTGTATATAACCTTGATCTAGTATTTTGTCAAAATTATTAATCAGCAAAGTTACAATAATCATTTATTTAATCTATCTATTGTAAAATTGCTTGAACTGATTTACTTTTTTATTTACTATTTTATATTGTTTACACCTTTGTCAGGGTAAATGTTCAGTTGAGCTTCCTTACCCCATCCACATGTATGCTTTTATAGAAACAAACTGTTGAATCTAACTTTAAATTATCAATATGCATATGTATATATAAACAAATATATATATATATATATATATATATATATAAAGGGCAGAGAGATTTTCATGCATACAATCATCCTCCTAAACAACATAATTGATTTATTTTAATGGAACTTCTACTTAATTTGTATTCGTTTCGAGTATTTGGCTTTTGTATCAGAATTTGTATACTATATATATATATATATATATATATATATATAAGCAAATACATATACTAACGCATACTTTTATACACACATATAAGTACACATACACACACACGTATATACGTATTTTATATTTCATTTTATATACGTATATATAAAATGACACCAAGTAAAAAAGCTAAAGCAACTGTTCTGAATATTCAGAGCTTAGCCTCATAACAACTATGCACAGAAATATAGTATTTTACTTGAAAACACATTTAGTTTTAAATGTTTGAACTATTGATAGCTTGGTGTTAAATTTGACGTTAATTAGTGTAGTGTAGTATTAATTTGTATTTGTCTCTGTTCCACTAAGTGACGGTCTCGATGCAGATAGAAACGTATGAATTAATGATTTTTTGGTGTTATTGCCCGAATTAACACTTAATTTAATATATACTCACACCAAATTATATATATATATATATATGTATATATATGTCTATATTAAATATTATAATACTAAATTTTTTTGTAAATTATGATTGTCCAAGAAACACGGATACAACTAAAGTGTTAAAGTGTTAAAGTGTAAATTCCATTACAAAAGCCTATACTTGATATTCAAAACCTTAAGAATATATTTTTTCAACTATTTTAATATGTTATTTAAAATGTTATAACATAGTTTTACTGTTTTTACAAACTTATGTGGCACTAATTTAATTTAGATTGAAAAGTGGTCGATGATATATGATATAAATAATGCTCTACATATACGTATAATTCGCAAAGTATTACATTGATGTATGAAGTATAGTATTAATCATTTTGATTCATATATATATATACATATATATTTGAAGTATTTGCAACCCAATCGTCGAATTAAAAAACTGTAAAAATAGAAAATTCTATTAAACGTTTCGACACTTAATGTGTGTCATCATTCAGTAATCTAAAAAAACAAATTACATAAATAACAATAGTTGATATTAAATATTAAAATAATAAAATCTGTTCACACACACACTCACACATACTTTTTCCAAATTTGGTTTCATTCGATTCAGAGTGGCTTGAAACGTCAAAAAACATAAAATTAGCGAATAGGATTTTTTGATGAAAATATAAACTTCTCCTTCGAGAAGTTAAAAAAGAGGAAATTTCATACATACCAAAGCAAAAAGAACTAAAAAAAAATACTAAACTAAAATACTAGACTAGAAAAATTGATTGATAAATATAATGTTCATTTGCACAAGTCTAGTGTTTAATAAATTTTATATAACTTTTTTTTTAGTTTTTCCTGGTTTCATTACTGAATGATGACAAACATTAAGTGTCAAAAACGTTTAATAGAATTTAATAGAACGTTTAAACGTTTAATAGAAAGAGTTTTTCTATTTTAACCTTTTTTTAATTCGATGATTGGGCTGCAAAATACTTCAAATATATATCAACGTCGACAAAACTATCAACATATATATATATATATATATATATATATATATATATGTATGTATATATACCTAAATTCATCAATAGAATACCTTTGGACTCCGAATTGCAACACATAAAACCGTTAGCCGTCACGTACTTTTCTTAAACTGCTAAAAGCACTTCACTTACGGTCTTTGCATCACAAAAACACCACGCACATAAAAAAATCCACTAGGTCACTTCACATCATATAGTCCAGAAAAAACATCAAAACTTCGAAAAAATTGAATTTTCAGAATTCTTTTTACATTTTAATAAATTGAAAGTATTTTTTATTATTTAGGTGATTATTTCACGTTGACTCCATCTCACGGTGAGTATGCCTGAACGCATTCTGCGCTACAACTGATGCTACGCCGAGCTACGCGGCCACCTGCTCCCACTCACTTCGCAAGCGCGGCGTACAATATGTTGTTGATTTTCAAATGACGAGTTACGTACTCGCGAAATGTTTCTTACTAGCATTGGCAGAAAAAAAACAGTCGAATAATATTAGACGATTGTGAATTACAAGGTGCATGAATTAATAATAATATGCTAAACTCAATTTATTTTACAAGTACCTATAGAAATACATACAAAATATATAATGCGTTGAAGTTAAATACAATATTATTGACGATTGTTCAAACGCATAAATGAATAAGTTATAATTATTATTAATCTAGTGTGTTTATGCGTTTATTAACTTTCCATCAAATAAGTTAAGTAATCGGAAAAAAATAAAAAATAATTTTTTTTATGTATCTTTCCAATTCAAAGTCTTCTAAAGATTTTGGCATTCCTCAGAAAAAATAGATGCATGTATGCGATCGTAAATCTTTGCAGATTCAATTTTTTGTTGACGATTTTGAGATTTGATTGTTTCAAACAACATTGGGTTCTCATTGATGCAAAGACGCGCTGATTAGTTTTTGATTAAGGAAGGTCCAGCTGTTCTTAAAAGACGGCGCAAAAAGTTTCAAAAATGCCAATTCACTTTTTGAGAGAACGCAGCATCCAATTTGTAAAATTTTTGGGGACCCAATAAAAAGTTAACTAGTAGGGTGTACAGCATCGTGCTTTGAGCCAAATTTCTGGAACTTCCCATACCGTAACGAAATGTTCGAGGAGTACTGAATGTTTTCGGATAGATTATTATAAATATTGTAACGTTGTCTAATATTAATAAGAATTATATAAACTGAATTGCAAAGTTGAAATTATTTGTTTAAAGTATAACTTTTAACTTTAGTGAGAATTAAAAATAAAATCTGATTTATTTTCGATGTACAAAAAAAATTTTTTTTGAAAAAAAAATTGAAAAAAAATGTTTTGAAACAATTTTTTTTCTAAAATGAATCATTTTGTTAAAACAAGCAGAAAGTTTTTTGAATCATTTAAATCGGACGCTTAGTTCTCTCAAAAACTGCCATTTTTTTAACATTTAGCTCTGTATCTTCAAATGGCTGGGCCTACCGTTGCCAAAAACTAATAACCACTTCTCCCAATCATTACTAATTGAATGTTTTTTAGATCATTAAAATCGGATACTCCGTTCTCTCAAAAACTCGTTTTCTATTTTATGCATTTTCATTTTTGCATTTTCTTTTGCTCTTTATCTCCGTAACTGCTGGACCTGCCTTTGCCAAAAACTAATCATCACATCTCCCTATCACAAGGAATCGAATGTTTTTTTAACTATTCAAATCGGTTGATCCGTGCGCCCGAAAACGTGACCGAAAAATTGTATCCATACATGCATACACACACACATCCATTTTCCTGAAGTATGCCTAAATGTTCAGAAACCTTCAAAACGTCGAGAAATGTAAAAATTTTCAATTTCGGTTTTTGGACGATTACAATAACTTACCCCACGGGAATTTAAAAAAAAGCGATTTGATGATTAAAAATGATTCAGGTCAAATTACCAAATACTTTACAGTGACTTTGAAAAGAAGTACATTTTTATTGCATTTCTATGGGTTACGAGATTTATAATTTTTAACCGTTAGACCACGGGGCTAAAACAACTACGCAGCGCAATTCCTTTTAAAAAGAAATTCAAAATTTATAAAAAATGACAAAATATAGAAGCAATTCAAAATTCTCAAATATATAATTGTGTCAAAACATTGTAAAGCTTGCAGTTTCAGCAATTTGTCTTAAGCACGATGCCATACACCACTAGTTCACAATATTCTTGATTCCTATTTTATCATTGGGCCGGTATACAAGCGGCTAAAGCGACGAAATCAGAATCACAGTATTCGGGTTCGATACACGCTTCGAGCATCCTGATATCAAGCAGTAGTAACATCGGTGTTCACTCGAAACAATAGATAGTAACAGAATTTCATGTAATAAAAGCCTTACCATCATTGCAGCATCAATAAAAACAGATCACTATCATAGAAATTGCAATAATAAAAATTAATTACATAGAGATCACAGCATCTCATTCCACCTTCAAGTCTATTATCACACCATCTAATTGAAACCTTAAATCCTAATCCTTTCTATAAAAAATAAATTTTTTATCAGCAATTTGAAACCATTTTACTTGATAGGTTACAGGTGTTTTCAAGTGGAAATAGTAGTGAAAATCAAAAATCATCAATATTAGGAAATTTCTGATGATAAAATATAGCCAATTAGTTTCCAAACCGTTAGGCCATCTTTTAATGACGCGTAGTTTACAAGTACATTATAGAATATAGAATACTTTACAATACCTTATAGAATACTTAAGTTCGTTTTGCTTTTCGAATAAAATTTTTAACTAGCAACTTTTTTCTAACCTTAAGTTATTCATTCAGAAGAATATAATTCAAAGCGGAAACTCATAGAGAGCAAACATTAATTATGAAATAATTCCATAGCATAAAAATTCAGGATAATATTTTTTTATCCTAATATTGAGGCCAAAAAAGGCAAAATTCATATAAATCAATTTTGTCGATTTGCAGATAAAAGTCTTTGTTATAATTTCATTAATGCGGTATTAAGAAGAACATACAACTTCTTTTACTTCACAATATTATTTATTTATATCAAACGTTGTTCGCCCTCAACATTTTTTAATATATATATATATATATATATATATATATATATATATATATATATATATATATATATATATAAATTTGTACATGTAGGTACTTTGTGTGGGTGCTTACTATCAGAATAAGCTTCCATGTGCTGATTATCATATTGGTTTTATCAGCTCAGCACAAATTCCACTCAAACGTACAATTATGTATACAAATGGTGCTAAATGCTAACCTGGCTGAGACTGAATGCGTTAATAAATATGGCAAACTTCAATTTTTGATCATCTATACGTAACACAAATATTATAACCAACGCGTAATATATATATATATATATATATATATATATATATATATATATATATATATATATATATATATATATTAATACATGTAATGTAGAGCAGGGCTTAAAGATCCGCGGGTAATAACTCCACCACCGATATCGGGTAGTAGAGATGTATAATCAGTCATGACCTAGAAGAATAAAAGGCAATGTTTCAAAATTTATAACAAAAGTTTTTTTTTGTTAATAGTTTTTTGGTTGTGAAAACTATTGTTTAGTTTACGAGATCTCAAAATATTTTTTATTCATTGTATTCGTTATTCAATCGTTTAAGAAGATGTATTATAAGGTAGATTCCAGAGTTCTTTTATATAACCTCTATAAAAACTGATAACTGGGTGGAGTGTAAAAAACCAACTATACCTTTACCCTGGCAAAATATGTAAACAATCAAAAATAGTGAATAACAAAGCGTATTATGTTAAAAAAAAACAATTTCACATGGTATAGATAAAATATAGTTATTCCAACTCTGCTGATGAATATTTCTGACAAAATACCAGATCAAGATTAAAATATGCCCATGAAATTTATATTTTGCATTGTTGCTTTGAATAATGTAGCGAGTATTTTGTAAAATCCCTTTAAAATAAAAAAATAAGACATTGGACCTGTTTGCCCCTGCCGTGCCATTTCACGCCGCCCATGAAAAGGACCAGGTGACATATTTTTGAAAAACAGAAAAAACACATTTCTAAAATGATAAGTTGGCTGAGAGTTTTACTGAACATAGTCAAATAGTCGTTTGTTTTGTTAGAATTATTGTGATATAATTGGTTTCGTTTCAACTAAATAATTTCTTAAAGTCATTTTGGATCTTTGTACCCGTCTCTACCCTATATATTGAGCATGCACATGCTGAAAGAAATTGTAATGGACTGTACGAACAATAAATTAATTTTTACAAGAATATCTAAATTGTTTTGGCAAAATTTTTAGTGCAATATTGATAATTCCTATGCATTATTTTAATATTTTCTTAATTTCTTCCAAAGTAAATTTTTGAAATCAGAAAGAAAACCACTTAACTATTTCTACATTACAATAGCTCTTAATCATTTTGGATTACCTTATAAAAAATATTTTTTGGGTTTGTGTTTGTTTAATATGTATGTATAGTGGAATTCATTTTTAGCTATGTGTTTACGTAGACACTTTTTTGAAAACTAATTAGAAAGGGTTGAATTCAGAAATGCAAACAAAACATTGTTAACAGATATTTTAATAAAACATTTTTTTGTAGATTTAGTGAATTGCACATATAGTATTTAACATTATGTATAATTTTTGTTACTAAATTTCAAACCAATAATCTTACCTTGCCAAATAAAACTATTGAACAAAAAATTGTTGTTGTACTGTTAAAATGATTCATTTCCATAAACAAATAGATAATAAACAAATAACTTCTGTAATGCAGTTTAATGATTTCTTCATCAAAAATATTAATCAGCTCAAATTGAAATTATCTGAGGTACCAGCATTTGGACTGAGCACTCTATATTTTACACCTCTTATATAATTTTACATTTCAAATGGCTTATTTATTACACAAACAGCAAAAACAAAAATAATATTCAATAAATATTTATTGCAAATTGTGTTAATGTTGTAATTAAAAAAATATTTAATATTAATTTAAAAAAATCTAAATTTATTGCGTATTTTATTATTTTTTAAACTTAAATTAAATCATAAGGATTCTGTAAAAAGGACATTGCTTTTAAAG